TTGGCCAAGGCGTGAGGTCTCTTTCCAGGTTCTTGCTGTTCATTGGCGCCTGCCCTGCCAGCAGTGTGAGACAGGAGCGCTCCGGCGCCTGCCTCGGCCCAGCCAGCTCAGAGCTCTGGGCTGTTTAAGCTAATCTGAATCTTGCCCGGAGCGGATCGGGGTGAGCCTGTGTGAACCCGCTCTGAACCCGCGCTGTGGGAGCTGGCACAGAGCCACGCGTGCCGAAGCATCTTCAACCACTGCAGGTGTTTGCCCGGTGACCAACTGTCAGCCGCCTTTTCTCGTCCCGGTGCTGCTGAGGTCTCGCGGCTCCTGACGTGTCTGAGTAGGGCTGTGTGTGGTGAGCCCCTCTCTGTGCACGCATCCATTTTTTTTCCAAATAAGAAATCTGTGAGGACAGAGGGTGTCGTCTTTTGTCACTTCTCGGTGTTCAGCGGCCACTTGCTACCATCAAGCAGTGAACGTGGACTGTTTTTTCTCCACCGTTTGACATGCTGAAGGAAGTCTCTTGGCAGCTGGCGGTACGGGGCATTTGATACCCAGGCAAACAGTCTGGGTCTTGTCCAATACGCAGGTAAATTAATCGGTTCCTCAGTGGTTTCCTGCTGACTCCCGTTAAACCGCTTCTTTATGTTTTACACTCTTGTTACTTAGACTGTGAGCCTTCAGGACAGGGAACTTGTTTCTGTCTGTTTGTAAAATGCCAGTTAAATGTGCAGGAGTAGATACTCGATTTTTAATAACAATCACATTAAACCTGAGTGGATTAAAGTTGTGAAGTTCTAAATGCTGCATTTTTTTTGGTCTATTTTTTTAAATCACTCTACCTGCTGGTAAATGGCAGTTTGTAGTATCGGACCTTACTGATGGAGAGACAAAAGTCTACCTTGAAGTGGAAAAAGAATGGAGCGGGTTTCATTGGGTTTTTTAATATTGCAGTGGAACCTGAGCAGGAGCATTGTTTTCCGTGTGTGTATCCGAGAATCGAACAGAGCCTGAACAGTCAGAGCATCTGAAAAAAAAAAATAGGATGTAAGTAAGCTCACTGTACAGTTCTCATCCTGCAGGGAGGTCACATCGATCCTGCTGCCAGCGAGAAGTTTTCCGCAACCGCCGCGTTGCAGTTGTTATCAGTTTAGCGCACTCAGTTGAGTCGAGGAGGGGCAGGATGTGTTCTGGGATAAAGATGCGAAGATGCTGCCGCATAAAGCAGCGGAGGGGCACTTGTCACCGATCCCCCTGGGACCAGAACATCCCGAGTCTTGGTTAGGATCGCTTCGGCAGCGCTCGTTCGTTATTCTACAAACAAACAATTTCAGGTGCCTTTCCTGGGCTGTTTCTGCGTCTTACAAAAGGCCAATAACAAGAAACATCGAAGTACTGCCACATTGCATCTCTCCTCCCCGTTGCACTATTGTCGTCTGTGTTCTAAGGCTGACCTCCTACCACTTCATTGTCGTTAGACAGTTTAGTTTTAAACATTAGTGAAAGAGAAAACGAAGAAGCTGTCGTGTTCACATCCGAGAGATGTCTCTGTAGCCACGACCGTGAAAGAATCGGTGTCCGGATGGCGAGAAGATGGGTGTTTTAGAAGCGCGAGCTGGGGAGGGTTACGCCATCTCAACAGTGCTCTCCTATTTTTACTGGAAGATGTCATATGTTAGCTGCTGTCTGAGCATCAGAAGCGCTTGACGTGCTCCTGTTTCATCACTTCTTGATGCTGCCTTTGATAATACAGATAAAGCAGTATTTTGCACAGTGAGTCATAGTTTCCCTGTCCTAGCCCAGCTCCCCTGTATTTCAGAGACAAATATGTATATTTATAACAAATCACAGAGCTATTTTGAGATTAGCACTGCTTAAATTGCAAAAATTCAACCCGGAATCCAAGAAGAAATGTTGAGTGACATAGAAACGCGCTGCTCTTCTGAGACCAAGAGAAAGAAGATAAATCCTCCCCTTGCACAGACAGAGGGATGCTTACAGAAAAGAGCAGAAGCTGCAGGGGAAGGCAAGAGAAGACGTGGTGATGGGGAGGGAGGGGGTATTTTGGGAGCGCAAGGTCTCCTGCACCCACCCTGAGATGCATCGTGAAGTCTTCGTGCCTTCTATGAACAAGCGCCGAGCTTTTATCGTCCTTGGGTAGCGCTTCTCTGTGTGCAACTTTTTTCTGAGCCTCCGTTACTTGGGCTGCTATAGCTCAGGCTGGAGCAGGACAGCAGCCTCCACTGCAAAGCCAGATGTCCAGGCTGAGGTGTTCTTCACAAAAGAAGGCAAAGGCGTGTGCAGAAAAACAGAAAAAAAAACCCCAAAGCTGACCCAGGCGCACCCAGGACAGCAACGTCTTATTGGATTCTCAAGTTCTGGCAAATGCAAACTGTTTTGCTTAAAAGCAGCTCAAGCTTTTGTGTGTTCGTTTTGCAAGTACTTGCTGCTGTTAGAGCAACTCCAAGTTTTTTATTGCTTTATGACTTCAGGTTTTTGCTTATAAAAGCCTCTTTGTGTTTTACCAGGTAGAGGCAGGGATTCTTTGCGTCCCATGGAACGCTGCATTCTGGAGAGGTACACGGGCTCTCCTGCATCCAGCTCCTTACCTAACGATTAAATGCAAGACAAGAAGAATACGTGTAAGTACGGAGAAGCCCTACTGTCCTCTGGCAGCCTGGCTCTCCCCGCAGGTCTGTCCCTCGCCAAGAGGACCACAACCACGCACGTGTCACGATAATCCTGGGATGGGCCTGGTCCTTTCCGAACACTGGAGGGGAAGTCTGCTCCAGCCACCCTCAGCATGGCTCTGCGGGGAACTGATCCCTCACGTCTATGAGAGGATCCCCAGTCCCTCGCAGCTCTGAGGGGACCCTGATCCCTCACAGGTCTGAGGGGATGCTGCACCCTCACGGCTCTGAGGGGATCCCAATCCCTCACAGCTCTGAGGGGACTCTGATCCGTCATGGCTCTGAGCATCTTGCACCCTCATGGCTCTGTGGGGAACTTATCCCTCACGGCTCTGAGGGGATCCTGAGCCGCCCCAGTTCTGAGGAGATGCTGGTCCATCATGGCTCTGAGGGGACCCCCAGTGCATCATGGATCTGAGGGGATACTGATCCCTCACAGCTCTGCGGGGATCCTGAGCTCCCGCAGCTCTGAGGGGACCCGATCCCTCATGGCTCTGAGAGGATCCCTGATCGCTCAGAGGGGACCCTGATCCCTCCTGGCTCTGAGGGGATCCCCAGTCCCTCACAGCTCTGAGAGGATCCCCAGTCCCTCCTGGCTCTGAGGGGATCCCCAGTCCCTCACAGCTCTGAGGGGACCCTGATCCCCGCCGGCTCTGAGAGGACCCCCGGTCCCTCCCGCCTCAGAG